TATTTCAGGCACGAGCAGGCACCTGGGTAGAACCACCAACCTTCCGTAAGCCAGCTGGATGGCTTCCTCACATGAAAGATTTCGACCCGAGTGAGGATCGAACCTACAGCGGTGAGGGACCTGTGATCTCAAGTCAGCGACCTTAACCACTCGGCCACGGAGGCCCCTGATCTCAAGTACTTAGTGTTTAAGTTCTTTTAAGATTGAATTGATTAATATTTTCAGCAAAGAAAATTTGAACAAATACTGCCTTTTATTCCAAAAACATTAAATACAATATTACATGTATATCATAATTATCACTTCAAAAGTAAAAAATAATTATCTATATTTTGTCCTGGTATTTAAAACTCATTTTAAGATTTTAAAAAATAATTCATTCAATTAAGTTAATATTTTGATATTTCTATAACACTATTTAGCACAAAAATTAAAATAATAACATAAAGAAATATGTCCATAGGACATAGACATAGATGCCTCCATATTCCCATTGCCTAATGAGACTATGGACAAACAGCCGGACAGACGGATGGACAAACAGCCCGAAAGCCAGACAGAGGGATGGACAGACAAGAGCAAATCTGTATGCCTCCACCACCACCCTAAATGTCAGGGCATATTGATTTCAGAAAAACTTGTTTTCTTTTATTATTAAATCAAAGCACTGTAAGTACTGGCATATATCAAAGCATCAATGATTACATCAATGTAATAAAACCAAGATTGTTGAAGGTGAGGATGCAGGAACAAAACTGTTTCCAAATAGAGAAATAAAATAACTTCTTATATGATGATAAACAAAGAACTTTCACAAGCAGACCTGTAATGTTTTTACCCATACAATACCATTATGACAATGACAAACTATTTTTGGTGCGAGGAACTAATGTAAAAATTTAATATGCCAATTATTAGGCTCGTGAGACAAGCTTCACAAGGCCAATTAATTTCAATATAATTACAACATGGAAGTAAAAACACTGTCATGTATATGGATTTGCCCTTAGCCAACAGCTGAATTTACTTGTGCAACCTGCGCATACCAAGATTAGCCACATTGTTTTTATTCAGGCAGTATAAATTTTTAATTTTCCTGAAAATTCGTCAAGATTGAAAGATTTTATTAAAGAGATTTAATGTAATATGGGTTTAAAGTCCAATCATATGGAAAATCTAAAATTCTATCATTAATATAATAAAAAGTATTTTATACAATTTAACTGCACCACATGTCATTTATAGTATTATTTTAAAGATTTTTGATAGTTTATATGGTCCTATAAATGGTTGTTTGGAAATTTAACCCCAAGCCCCTAAGCGAGGGTTATATTGCAAACAACTGCTTTAAGATACTGCCATAATTAACTAATGTCAGAAATCGTTCTAGCAAATCTATAATACAGCGAGCATCCCTTTTTTAGAAAAAAAGTGAGATTTTTCATGAATTGTCAGCAGTCATGTATATATAACTATATAAACATCACAATTATCCAATGAAAAGAGATGTTACAAAAGTGCAGAATTACAAAATCGTAATCTAAATTTCACAATCAATAGATTGAAATGCTGCAATTATATTGGTTGGTTTTCAAATGTTCGCTAGTTTTAACTAGAATTAAAAGCTTTGATAATTAAGCCCAAAAACAAAAACTCAGCAGCTATCATTTTCATCTCTGAAAATATTTTTATCATTTGTGCTCTGTCATGATTTTATGAAATGGTTCTCATTTGCAATACCAGTATATCTAAATCATTGTTTTTGCACTTTGGAAATTAGTAAAGTTATAGTGATTGAAGTATTTTGTATGGAAGAAAATATGAATACACCACTTTGTTTAAGTTTTTGCTACTTTTATGACAACCTTTTTTATTGAAAACTTCTTTCTTCATGTGCTGGGCACCTAGCTAAAATGCTGAGTATCTCATTTTAAGATATTATAGAACACCTATTGACTTTTTCTTCAAAGAAAAATTGTTATTTCTCAGGCTTTACGTAAATTTAACTTAAAACCAGGAGCATTTCAGTATTTCGCTGATTAAAAAAAAAAAGAACATAACGCGGCAATAATTCAACCATCAAATCATAGAACAAAAAAAACCCTAAAGTGTTCTAATTAACCCAATGTAGCCTTTTATTACCACAAAGATCATTAACTTTCACATTTATTCACAGAGATACATGTTTTTTAATGAGAAGACAAAAAAAAATACACAAAAGAAAAATATGTGTTACAAATGAGCCAGCAACCATTTTTTTTAAAGACATGTTCCTAATGGCACATTCCTTTCTCTTTCTCTAATTTGCTCGGATTTGTAAACATAACAATTGACCTTTTTCAAATCCTTGAATGTTGTTATCCAATTACTTTTTTCGCACAGATTTTTTTCTCTGATAAAACCGAGTCAGTCAAGTGGATATGACAGAAGCTTCCCTGAAGTTGACAAGATTTAGTACAAAACAACAAAAAAAACACCACTTTAAAACATTCCATTTCTTCTTGTTTAATTATTGCCAATTTGTAACAAAAATTTAAAGCTGCATGCCTTCAGATGAGCCAAAATATTTCAAGAAAATCAAAACTTGAGAGAAATGTATTAAGATTTTTAAGAAAGTAAAATATTCACAATTTAAGAAATAATGCAATAAATGACAGATATTGCAGTATTTATCACATATGATTAATGAATTAAGAGCTTACCTCTTCATATCCTGGACTATTTGTGGTAACTTTCAAAAAAATAAAAAAATTTAAGTGCTGTTTTGCAATCTGTACATAACTTTCTTTATTTACTTGACAATCATTTTATGTTTAAATTATACACTTTAAAGATTTTTATGAAAATTAGCATGAATGTGGAGGCGTGCTGATTGGTGTGATACACCAGAGCCTTGAGTAAGTTAACAAGTTTTCCATGATTATATTACAGTGTAACATTTTTTTAACACAACTTTCTTGAATTAATTACTTTCAGGGATAATCCAATTTGTCCAAAAAATATTTGCCAACATCACAAACAGATATAATTCAGTTAAAATCAGTGCTAGTTACAGGTTTATGGATTTGCCTTGGTTGGATTTTAGCCAAAATTTCAGCATTCAAAATTTTAGCAAATAGTTTAAAATTAAATGACTTGGCTACACTGGGTCTTTTGTCTATAAAAATGATCCAAACTATTATAATTATAGATAGTTTTCAAAAGAATTACATTCAGTGGTTATAATAAGAAATGAATCTGCAAGCACTCCTTCACTAATAGTTACACTGATGCTGTGACACCTGGCAGGAATATGATAATAATCCAACAAATCTTTGAACAGTAAAGCTAAAACAACCAACAAACAGACATAAATGACAATCAAAATACATAAAAAAAAAAAAATTTTCATGAAGAGTGAAAATCGTAACGACAAATAATTTGTCACCTTAGCGCAGTAATGGGTTAACTCCTTATATAATTCAATAGGAATTAACCCATTATTGCACTTTGGTGACGATATAACCAATACCTAAACCAATTTGTTCCGAGAAATATATATCAACAAACAAAGTGTTTTCCTAGTAAATTTAAGAATTATCCCATCAGATCTAATTGGTATCTGTGTTGACCCTCACATGACATTAAAACAAGGAGTGGTTGGTTACACATGCGACTTTACGACTTTAACGTCCTCTGAAGTACGTTCTCTGAAGTACGTAAACATGAGATTTTTTTTATGGCTTCCCACGCATAATGCCATGATTAGTTTATATTAAGTTCGATTTGTCATGATAAGGGTTACTCAGTATGAAATTATCAACAAACATTATCCCATTTGTCTCTAAAATATGCTTATTATATAAATAGACCAAAACAAAAAATTGAATTTTACCATAAAATTCAAGTCATCAAGTACTATTTTAAGTTGAGTAGAATAATGTCAAGGAAAGATTTCCATTCTCCAAAGTCGAAAAAGTAATTATTATAAAGAAATAAGCTGCTAATGTAGTCTAGCACCCTAGAGTGTATAATTTTAATGCTGATTCAATTGGTTTATACAGAATAAATTTTATAAAACAACAATAAATAGTATGAGAGGAACATACCACAACGCCCGAACAAGTTAAAAGTTTTTATTTAAAACCTACTGGTTTCGGGTAGTCACTACCATTTTTCAAGGTCTTTAGTTTGATTGTGTTGGAGGCTATAAGCTTATAGATACATTTTTGAATCTGTTCCTGGAACAGCATTTTCCCTTAATTATCATAGGCTTTTATATCATACTTTTACATAAGATCCAGCTATACAATTGAACTAAAACTCTAAAACTATCATTTTATTATCACAGACTAACATCTATAGAAGAAAACTAGGTAAGTAAAACCAGGATAAGGTTAACTTATCCTGCAGTCACATACAGACCAAATAAAGTAATACTTCTTATAACTTTTGTAGTAAACAATACAATATGAAAAGTGTCATGATATATAGTATCTCAAATAATGCATTGAAATGGCCGACAATTAGAAAACTTTATCACTTAACCATGCCACTTCTCCAACCATGTAAGAACAGAATATCATGGCCAAAAACAGTCCACTACAACAATAGCATGACTTTTTTTCTTCGAAAAGTGTAGCTAAAATCTATAAACAACTATATCCTTTCTCTTCTCAATTTGAGTACTCTTCAACTTTTCACATTTTTTGTCGGATAGCTAATATAATAAAGAATAGTTTCTTTACGCCTAACTGAGTAAATTATCTGAGAAAATATCTATTTTTCATGGGGAAAAAAAACATATGTCAACTACTAAGCTTACATACAAATTATTTAGCAAGCAATAACTTTTCTTTCCGCCGCCCACTGTGAAGAATTTCTCAATTTGAGGACGAAAAAAAACATTTATCACATGAGCTTTAAGATGAATTATTTTCCTTGTCGCGGTGTCTCTTCCTGCCCTTTTTTGTCCAAGGAAAAACACATGAGAATATTTCCAATTGACACGGATGAAATATGACTTACTTAGCTTGTGCGTCTTTTCTCGCTCTTGATGAAGCTGTACTTTTCCTGTAACTGGGAAGCCGTGACCTTTTCATCTTTGTTTTTCTATCATCAGCAGCATGCCCACAATCGCTATCACCTGACATGGTTTTGTCTGAGAGAAAAATTAAACATGTTTTTTGCTTCAAAATAATATTCCCTTAACCATATTTGCTTTATATCTAGAGCTGACATGGGTTATAAAAAATGGCTAAACATTAAAATAAGTTCCACTTGTAAATTTTTTTTTTCAGGGAATTTTGCTAACATGATTTTGTAAAAAAAAATTAAACCAAATCAAGTCAGTAATAATTATTTCTATGCTAACATTTATAAGCACTTTTTCAGGCAATTTAGAGAATCACACACAAAAAACATGTTGGTTGTCAAAGCCATATACCTATCAAAAATTTTAGGCTTCAATTAATCTACAGGGTTGAGGGGGGGGGGGGACAAAACTGGTTAGAAAATGTTACAAGTTTTGAAGGTAATCAATAACTTGTTTATTAAAGAAATTTAGAGAACAGAATTACTGTCTCTAAAAGATATTTCACTTTGGTCTCATCATTATTCTCGATATTTAATTAGTAATATTTTAGAAATGAGGAAAAGGTTACTCTTTTTTAATTGCAGTAAAATCTCTCATTCTAAACAAAGGCCTAAAAAACTAGAAATGTGTCATCATGCCACGGATGCCCCCGCATGCAGCCAAAATTTCAGATGTTATTATATTTAGTTCCAAATTTGTTTGCACAAATTATTGTTTTCATTTTAAGTTCAAAGCCCTTAAAACTTTTCAATGTTAACACAAACCATTTTCATACAATGTTCAAGGCACTGAAATTATTCAGTCTTATCCTTTTGAAAATAGCATATTTCATATTTGTAGCCAAAATAATGGCTACATACATTTCCACTAAAGTATGAGTGCTGAAACTGAAAGTTCAAATTTTTTTCCAATATTCAAGAAAGATAAGTTTGTCCAAAATCATTGAACCACGACCAAATTCAAACTTAAACTGCCTATTCCTAAGATGTATCTATATTATTTTCAAAGTGAAAGGGACATAACTCTGCCAAAAAATCATCGAACCATGACCTAATTCCAACTTGACCTGCCCATTCCTTTGACATATCCATATGTCAAATTTGAGTTGAATATTTAACACTGTTGGGTAGATAATGAACAGAAACTGTAAATTTCATATTTTTTTCAAAGTGAAAAGGGCATTACTCTGCCAAAAATTATTGAACCATGACCAAATTCGAACTTGACCTTGGCATTCCAAAAAAATATCCATATGTCAAATTTGAGTTGAATGTGTTGTACTGTTGGGGAGATAATAAACAGAAACTGAAAATTTCATATTATTTTCAAAGTAAAAGGAGCATAACTCTGCCAAAAATCATCGAACCATGACCAAATTCAAACTTGACCTGTATTTTCTCATGACATATCCATATGTCAAATTTGAGTTGAATGTGTTGTACCGTTGGGGAGATAATGAACGGAAACTGAAAATTTCATATTATTTTTAAAGTAAAAGGGGCATAACTCTGCCAAAAATCATCGAATCATGACCAAATTCGAACTTGACCCGTATTTTCTCATGACATATCCATATGTCAAATTTGAGTTGAATGTGTTGTACCGTTGGGGAGATAATGAACGGAAACTGAAAATTTCATATTATTTTCAAAGTAAAAGGGGCATAACTCTGCCAAAAATCATCGAATCATAACCAAATTCGAACTTGACCCGTATTTTCTCATGACATATCCATATGTCAAATTTGAGTTGAATGTGTTGTACAGTTGGGGAGATAATGAATGGAAACTGAAAATTTCATATTATTTTCAAAGGAAAAGGGGCATAACTCTGCCAAAAATCGTTGAACCATGACCAAAATCGAACTTGACCTGTATTTTCTCATGACATATCCATATGTCAAATTTGAGTTGAATGTGTTGTACCGTTGGGGAGATAATGAACGGAAACTGAAAATTTCATATTATTTTCAAAGTAAAAGGGGCATAACTCTGCCAAAAATCATCGAATCATGACCAAATCGAACTTGACCTGTATTTTCTCATGACATATCCATATGTCAAATTTGAGTTGAATGTGTTGTACCGTTGGGGAGATAATGAACGGAAACTGAAAATTTCATATTATTTTCAAAGTAAAAGGGGCATAACTCTGCCAAAAATCGTTGAACCATGACCAAATTCGAACTTGACCTGTATTTTCTCATGACATATCCATATGTCAAATTTGAGTTGAATGTGTTGTACCGTTGGGGAGATAATGAACGGAAACTGAAAATTTCATATTATTTTCAAAGTGAAAAGGGCATTACTCTGCCAAAAATTATTGAACCATGACCAAATTCGAACTTGACCTGTATTTTCTCATGACATATCCATATGTCAAATTTGAGTTGAATGTGTTGTACCGTTGGGGAGATAATGAACGGAAACTGAAAATTTCATATTATTTTCAAAGTGAAAGGGACATAACTCTGCCAAAAAATCATCGAACCATGACCTAATTCCAACTTGACCTGCCCATTCCTTTGACATATCCATATGTCAAATTTGAGTTGAATATTTAACACTGTTGGGTAGATAATGAACAGAAACTGTAAATTTCATATTTTTTTCAAAGTGAAAAGGGCATTACTCTGCCAAAAATTATTGAACCATGACCAAATTCGAACTTGACCTTGGCATTCCAAAAAAATATCCATATGTCAAATTTGAGTTGAATGTGTTGTACTGTTGGGGAGATAATAAACAGAAACTGAAAATTTCATATTATTTTTCAAAGTAAAAGGAGCATAACTCTGCCAAAAATCATCGAACCATGACCAAATTCAAACTTGACCTGTATTTTCTCATGACATATCCATATGTCAAATTTGAGTTGAATGTGTTGTACCGTTGGGGAGATAATGAACGGAAACTGAAAATTTCATATTATTTTCAAAGTAAAAGGGGCATAACTCTGCCAAAAATCATCGAATCATAACCAAATTCGAACTTGACCCGTATTTTCTCATGACATATCCATATGTCAAATTTGAGTTGAATGTGTTGTACAGTTGGGGAGATAATGAATGGAAACTGAAAATTTCATATTATTTTCAAAGGAAAAGGGGCATAACTCTGCCAAAAATCGTTGAACCATGACCAAAATCGAACTTGACCTGTATTTTCTCATGACATATCCATATGTCAAATTTGAGTTGAATGTGTTGTACCGTTGGGGAGATAATGAACGGAAACTGAAAATTTCATATTATTTTCAAAGTAAAAGGGGCATAACTCTGCCAAAAATCATCGAATCATGACCAAAATCGAACTTGACCTGTATTTTCTCATGACATATCCATATGTCAAATTTGAGTTGAATGTGTTGTACCGTTGGGGAGATAATGAACGGAAACTGAAAATTTCATATTATTTTCAAAGTAAAAGGGGCATAACTCTGCCAAAATCGTTGAACCATGACCAAATTCGAACTTGACCTGTATTTTCTCATGACATATCCATATGTCAAATTTGAGTTGAATGTGTTGTACCGTTGGGGAGATAATGAACGGAAACTGAAAATTTCATATTATTTTCAAAGTAAAAGGGGCATAACTCTGCCAAAAATCGTTGAACCATGACCAAATTCGAACTTGACCTGTATTTTCTCATGACATATCCATATGTCAAATTTGAGTTGAATGTGTTGTACCGTTGGGGAGATAATGAACGGAAACTGAAAATTTCATATTATTTTCAAAGTAAAAGGGGCATAACTCTGCCAAAAATCGTTGAACCATGACCAAATTCGAACTTGACCTGTATTTTCTCATGACATATCCATATGTCAAATTTGAGTTGAATATGTGCAACCGTTACTAAGATAATGAATGGAAACTGATGATGACGGAATGACAGAATGACGGAAGGACGGAATGACGGAAGGACGGAATGACGGAAGGACGGAACAGGGTAACACTATATGCCCCGGCCATTACATGGCGGGGGCATAAAAATGTAGCAAAATAAGTTCAACCAGACTAACAAAAAACAAGAGGGCCATGATGGCCCTGAAATCGCTCATCTGTATTTACGACCCTGGGCCAAGGCCAATTTTAAACCAAGGGCTTTTATTTGAACAAACTTGGTAGACACCCATTAGAAGATGTTTCATGCTAAATATCTAAGATCTAGCTCTTTGGGGTTTTTATAAGAAGATTTTTTAAGTTTTTACTATATACATATAGGGAAAAACAATAATCCCCCTCCGAGGGGCCAATTTTGACCCCAGGGCTTTTATTTGAACAAACTTGGTTGACACTCACTAGAACATATTTCATGCTTAGTATGTAAACTCTAGCTCTTTGGGTTTTTTATAAGAATATTTTTTCAGTTTTTACTATACACATATAAGGAAAATCAATGACCCCCTGGGGCTGGGCCAATTTTAACTTGAGGCCTTTATTTGAACAAACTTGGTAGACACCCATTAGAAGATATTTCATGCTAAATATCTCAGCTCTAGCTCTTTGGGTTTTTTAAAAGAAGATGTTTCAAGTGTTTACTATATACATAGAAGGAAAAACAATGAACCCCTGGGGCAAGGCCAATTTTTACCCCAGGGCTTTTATTTGAACAAACTTGGTAGACACTAAATAGATGATGTTTCATGCCAAATATTTAAGCTCTAGCTCATTCTGTTTTCTACAAGAAGATATTTGAAGTTTTTTCTTTCGGTTGCCATGGCAACCAGAGTTCTGCAGTAGCAACTAGAGTGTTAACAAGATTTTTCTATTTTTAGCTCCGGTGACCTAGTTTCACATGCGATTTCGAACTCATCCAAGCAATTACCTAGACAAGCATCCTGACCAAGTTTGATGATAATTGAGTCGAAAATGTGACCACTAGAATGTTAACAAGGTTTTTCCATATTTGGGCGGTGTGACCTAGTTTTTCATCCAAGATGACCCATGTTCGATCTTGACTTAGAAATCATCAAAACAAACTTTCAGACCAATTAACAGAATATTTGGATCACAACAGTAGCCACTAGAGTGTTAACAAGATTTTTCTATTTTTAGCTCCTGTGACCTAGTTTTTCATCCGAGATGTCCCATGTTCGATTTATTCCCAGCAATGACCTAGACAAGTTTCCTGACCAAGTTTGATGACAATTGAGTCAAAATTGTGACCACTAGAGTGTTAACAAGGTTTTTCTATTTTTAGCTCCTGTGACCTAGTTTTTCATCCGAGATGACCCATGTTCGAACTCATCCGAGCTATCACCTAGACAAGCATCCTGACCAAGTTTGATGATGATTGGGTCAAAAATGTGACCTCTAGAGTGTTCACAAGGTTTTTCTATTTTTAGCTCTTGTGACCTAGTTTTTCATCCGAGATGACCCATGTTCGAACTCATCCGAGCTTTCAACTAGATAAGCATCCTGACCAAGTTTGATGATGATTGAGGCAAAAATGCGACCGCTAGAGTGTTCACAAGCAATTGTGGACGTACGATGGACGACGGACATTCACCGATCCTAAAAGCTCACCCTGAGCAAGCTCAGGTGAGCTAATAATAATGTCAAATGAAAAAAATAGCCTTTAAATACATTCATATCTTATTTAAAAAAAAAGTAAGTAATTACTTTATTTGACATTTAAAAGACTTCTGAAATTGAGGTTCGTAGTCTTACTGTGGACTATAAAAATTTTGTTTATATTGTTTAAATAAAATTGTTTATATTAAAATTGAAATTATTATAGAATACCCAGAATGAAAGAAATTTGTCATTTTACTTCATTTATAAAGCGAGTAGAGCATAATTAAATCAAATTATCGCTATACTTCCTAAAAATAGCAACAGATTTTTCTGTCCATTAAAATTTTATGTCTATTCACTTTCAATATTCATGTACATTAAATTACGTAGGCACTTTATGTTATGAAAACGACCATTCATTTTCGTACAAAAAAAATCCCATAATATTTACTTTTTTTCAATTTTATATTAAACACTTCATCAGATGTTACAATTTTTTAGATAATATACACTTTTAAATTAAGATATTATAGGTATTTAATAAGTTTCAGCTGGCTTAAAGGTCAACATATTTAACAACCCAGTTCTTATTAATCTAAAAAAGTGTGTTTCCCCATCCACTTTTCAAATAGGTTATAAATTCTAGGATTTTTTTATCTTCACATTAAAGGGACTCCACCGAGGTTTTTTGACATGACATCACTGGAAATATTTACCGAGATTTGTGTATCAATCAATGTAGATGTAGACCAGTAACTTAGGTGCAATTTTTCTGGTCATTCTCTCTACCCGTTTTTCCAGGATAATCATTTTTATAGTGAAAAATTGACACAAAAAATGAAAAGCGTTACAACGCTTTTGACCGAAAATCAGCTTAAAATCAAACAAAAATAATTTTTCTAATTAATTCTGAGTAAATTTCTTTGCTATCCTTTGCAGAATTTTCCATTTTAAGTGCTTTACTTGATATTTGTCAGATTTTTAAATTTTAAGTTTTTAGGCATTTGGATTTCAGTAATGTTCCTTTAATTAAAAAAAAAATCTGGGACATCAAATGCCAGAAAGTAAATGCCACACAGATTATGACACTACTTAATCCAATGCACACTTAGCTTCTAATTGTATGACTAAATTATAACACTCTTAAAATGAGGCCAGAGGCGAGAGGACAAAAACAAATTTATACCTTTTAAGATTCTTTTACATTTTTAACAAGAGTTTTAACTGGAACAGAGATTGATAATCCTTAGTGCTTGATAGTGCAATAAGGTCAATGCAAAAATTTACTTTATAAACAAAGGGGAGTAATTTAGTAACAAGAGCTGTCGGTAGGACAGCAACGCTCGACTATTCTTAGTGCTTGGTAGTAAAAAAAGCCTTGATTAAAAGGTAAAATTTTCTCAGTAAAATTAAAAGTCAAAATTTTTCTTTAAATCCATATTACAGTTATAGGCCTTGGAGAGAGTCCTATTATGCTCTCAAAGAAGAGTACAAAATTTCATCATGTTTCAAAGCCTTATGTCAATGGACTTGAAAATATTTGAGGTATAACAAAAACTGTAACGTAAATTCTAAGTCGAAAAAGGGGCATAATTCTGTCAAAATGCTTGATAGAGTTACCTCCTCCTGTTAACAGGTTGGGGTCATGATGGTCAACAAGTGCATGCAAAGTTTTAAGGCCATATGTCAATGGACTATGAAAAACTGTTCTAAGTCGAAAAAACTTTAACGTAAATTCTAAGTTGAAAAAGGGGCATAATTCTGTCAAAATGCTTGAACAAGTGTGCAAAGTTTCAAAGCCATATGTAAGAGGACTTTGAGGTATTACAAAAACTTTAACGTAAATTCTAAGTCAAAAAGGGGCATAATTCTGTCAAAAACTTTAACGTAAGTGGTTACGCCGACACCGACGCTCGGTTGACTACAGTTGCTCTACTTATTCTTATCGAATAGTCGAGCTAAAAATCAATGCAATAGTTATAAAGGGCAGACAGGATTGCTCCACTATTCTTCTAAATTCCAAGCTAAACAAGAGCACCAAAGCAGTGTTAACGCTCATCTGTAAAAAATTTAATTTAAAAAAAATTCCAAAAATATTCCTTTCAGAATAATGTCCCTTGTCTTACAACTGAACCTAGTCATACAAGCAAGTATTACAAGTTGCATGTTGATACCTTTTGAAATGTTTGAATAATGCGCTACATTACTGTTTTTGCAAGACAACAACAAGGACAACAACACACCGCAGCGATCATAACAACTCAACTTTTTCATTAAAAAAGACAAGCTAAAAATTAACAAGGCCTTACCTCTCTCTGCCTCAAGTCTAGTCACTCTTGGACAATCAGCTGTGCTTGAACTCTCCGGAAAATCCTCGCTCGAGCTTTTCACTACCATATCACTCTGTAAGTACAAATAAATTCTTCATAGTAGTTAAATAGATTCAACGAAACAACATTAATTCAGTAATATAACACTTCATCTTTATCAAAAATTATTATTTCAGGCTGTCTGCATGTCTTCAACAACTCAAGTCTTGGTCAACAACAAAATTTAACTTCCTTTTTTATTCCTTTTGGTCAATTTTATAACAGATATTTATAGATTATTTATAAACTGTACAATACGGGAATGCAGTTGAACAAGTACACAGCTGGAGAAAACCATATTGTACCCAGTCAGCTGGCGTGTCTTGTATGATTTCTCAAACTGTGTATCAGTCCAAATATATTCCTATATTGTACCTGTTAAATGTTTAGTAACCTGTTAATTTTATATCCGAAACATATTGAGGAAATGCATAATGTGACCTCATATCATTATGCTGGGCTCCTTGCTGGTGGTCCTGTGTTGGGGAATGTGTTCATTGGGCATCGCAGCTCCTTGGTGACCTTACAGAATTTATTTTAGTTTGATTGTGTAGGAACTTAGTCTAAGCTTATAGACACGCATTCGAATCCATTCCTGGAACCAGCCAGTACTGAGCAATGAGTGTAAAGTTTCTTGCTCAAGGAAACAACCACTTGCTCCTGACAAGGTTTGAAACCATGTGGCCAGCTATCATTAGACTACTAGTCTGACTTGTTAACCATTCATCCATGCCGCCACTTTGTGACCTTGTTTTTCATGGTTGAAGAGTCAGATTTCTTTTCACAAGATGTTCATAATAACCTTAGTATATAAATCATTCAGATGATTTTGATGTTACCTCGTCACCTAAGTGCAGTAACGGGTCAACTCCTATATCATATAATGAGTTAAACTGTTACTGCACTGAGGTGATAATCTGCTTTATTATTGACTTTAGAAACACACTAAATGATCAAGATAGAATAATTATATTTGTATTCGGGTTATTATATATTTCAAATATTCAGTTAAGTTCTGCTAAAATACATCACATCAGCACACAGTAGGTTGAAAACCTAAGACGCACCTTTCAGTATTGTTTCAGACACAAATGGACAATTGTGTACAACAAGCAACTTCCAGTAAACAAGCTTAATGCATTCCTGACAAGAAAGAATTCTTTAGCTCATGGCAGGATTTAAACTAACAATAGTGATAAAGGAGGAAGTGGTTCAAAATCAGTAATTGTAACCCTTATTACACTAAACATCCTAAATGAACATGTCCATCATTCAATATGGACAAGACTATTCATCATTTTTATGGAAAAATTTAAAATAAGTACTAACTAAATAGTGCAGACCATGATCAGAGGGCAAAGATGTGCCAGTTGAACTTGGTCTGCACTGAATGCATGGGAAATATCAGTTGCTACCAACAAGCTTAGTGTTTAATATAAAATCACTAAGCCAAAGATCTCTCAAAGGTGTACTATATTTATAATCAGGCAAAGTAAATTTTTATTCATTTTTGTGCAAATTTTAAAAAATCACGAAAAAACAAAAGTGGTAAATCAAGTATATACTGGCAATCTATTGATGGCTTTTTTTCCACTCTAAAACATATGTTGCAATACTGCCATGGTAAATGTATTCTAACATGACAAAGCACAGAAAATCAAAACATTCTGCCTTTTATTCAAATGAACATTAAAGTTAAATTCTACTTAATCATAGGAAGGCATTAATGTCATCAAAACAATGACATATATTGCCTTAATGTATCAATGAGTGGGTATAAATTGTATATACATGTATATATTTGGTGACCTTGACATGAATTAAACTACCTTTGCTTTGTTCAGTAACTGGGCAATCTGTTCCTCAAGCTGTTCCAATCTCTTATCTTGATCATTTTCTACAAACTTGGTCTTTCCCTGAATCATAATAACCAATACATTTATCAACATGTATTAATACTTTATTATCATACATGTACTATATTATTTCATTATATACTTATAAATGAATGAGTGAGAAATTTTGATGAAATAAAATGCGTATTTTCATTTTTCGTATTTTCACTGCAAAAAAAAATTTTTTTTTTCACTGCAGTGAAACATATTTTCCATTTTTTCACTGGTGTGTTAATGGACTATTTTCTTCATAATTCAGCCAATTCACAAAATATAAAGAAATTGTAATGACAAAAAGAGAAAAAAAAATACAATTAACAGAAAATTCAAGTTCTTTCTATAAATACTGCCAACAGAGCTTCATTTTCTTGAAAGCATGCAGCTTTAACTATTAACCTGCTTAATTTCTTAAGTTGGCTGTTCTAGCTGCCATTTTTTGGAATTGTCCAATTGCCAATTTTAAGGATATCAAAATATTGAAATTTGAAGTTTGTCAGCCAACAGTATAGAGCCTGGTCAAACTGCGGAGATATGCAGGTGGGCCTGTATTAATATAATGGTGGATTTGTTCTATCTAATCTATATGCCCATCAGAAATGAGCCATAACCAGTCCCCTGCCTAAATCTTTAATAATTCTGCTATATAAAAACATAAATTATAAATTACAATAAGCAAAGCAATGATTAAGAGATTCAAGAAAACAGTATTACGGGCCTTGAATAACGAAAATAAAGAAAATAAAATTATTTCAAGATATAAGATGTTTACTTTGACAAAAGACCGATGTCTGGAAGGGCCTGGACTTTGTTCTGTGTCAGTGACTGACTGTATAACACTGGAATCTGTAGAGGACGGTTGCGGGTTTGAGCGCTGCTGTTGCCGGTGACGATACATCTCCACAGCTTGATCAATCCTCGGTGTCACCAAATCAGACTTGTTTGTGTCCTGAAATTATACAGAATATAATTATATAACCTATACGATAGGCTCATAATCAATGACAAGCTATATTCTCACAGTCAAGTAAAGTCAAAGTATAACAGTGTGCTATGAATGTTTTTCATAGACAATTTGCCTATGTTCATTTATAATTCACAATAATACAGCAAAAACCCTCTATTATGACCACCAATGGGGACTTGACCACTGGTCTTAATCGTGGAGTGTTCTCAATTGTGGATATTTTTATCAATATATAATAATACTATATTAATATACTGCAAAATGTATTTGATATTAAGACATTTCAATAATTTATTATAGGCCTATTCTATATTTGCGACGGACGCGCCCTCAGGCGCGTTCAGAGCTAAGTCATCTACACATGGGATTTCGTTGGCTACACTCGCGCAATGTGTCCTTAACCAATTAACAGCCCAAGAAATAGTACATGAATTTGATCCTTCAAAACTCCCATACTTTGTCTGGATATCTTAATGTGTTCCATTTTTAACCTTTTCAATTTCAAATTAAGCTATCCAAGTTAAAATATGAATGTATATTATTGATAAAAACGTTGTAGTCCCGTAGTATTATTGCGCAATATGCAAATTACTGCTGAAACGATTTACCGCTGTCGAAAAAGTAGGACAGCAAATTATACTTCAATAAAGGTGTACCCTCTGAGTTCCAAGACATTATTAGTAGGAAATAAATATTTCTACATTATACAAAACATTATTATTAACAAATCAAAAGTTTTTCGTGACTCTAGGATAACTCGCGCATTAATAAAAGAAGAACTATTTTCGTGACTCATACCGCGGGTTTAGCTGAATATTCAGCAGTTATTAATATATTAGATACAGTACAATGGCTAGTATAAATATCTATTTTTGAAAATGCATGTAAGACACTTTACCGCCATGTAGTCTTTCATCGCAAGGAAGTTATAATATCAGTTCTACTTCCGATTCTTGTGGTTTGTTTACATATTTTACTAGGTCATGATATGAGTTAACCTTTGCTATTCTAAAAATAGATTCTGCTTCACCTGTTCTGATTTTTGGACAGGCAATTAGGAAGTACACATTAAACATGTAATTAATAAACCAGCGGATTGTAATGCAATACTTTTAGAAATGCTATACAATTGTAAGAAGCAAACAAGTTGAAAATGGAATTTAGTGTGAAGTTGAAAAGGACAACTAAACACTGTAGTGCTTAAGTAACATTTAAATTAAAATAAAAACGATGTGCTCTGGCCTCTACATCTTTACCTTGTAAATAAAAAAATCTAAGAAATACACTATTAATTGCTGATGATTTTAACCAATTTTTTTTAATGAGACATATCCAAGAGAAATAAAAATACAAATGACTTATATTTTATGCATGCCCACTATGATATAACACGAAGCAATTCTAAATAGCATTCTCAAATGTATAATGTATTATGTTTGAAGTTTATTTGCCTGGATTTATTCTGGAAATATTTCGTTGATAGTTTTTTTTTCTATTTACATATCATTTCTTAGAATAAATCGATAAGGACACTGATTTACAAGTTTGACCAGAGTTTTTAGGCATAAATTTCATTCTGTATTTAAGTGCTTGAAAGTAGAAAATCTGAATTATATCAATTTGGGACACAAAATATATTGCTCTTCAAATCTCGAACTTGTAGACAAATTTTCTCTGTTATATATTTTGTGTGTGTTTTTTTTTTTTTTTTTTTTTTTTTAAAGAAGCCTTAATTAATGTCTCTCCGGTTGCATGTCAGTGCATTCAGTGCTGCAGCACTTTGATTAATCATATCTGTCTATCTTTGAAAAAGCAAAGAAGTGGAAAAGAATCAAAGTAACTTAAGAATTTTGAAATTATTTGCAATAAACAGTAAAAAGGACCTTTGATCTTGACAATACAAGGAAAAAGGATGGCAGAAGATTTGTTTATGATATTTTTCATTTACCTACAGGCACTTCAATTAAATTTGATCAAATAATCTGTTCAATTTATGGACGCACTTTGCTTTCCTACAACGTAATTCATATGTTTATAATCAGCAATAATTGCAGAAATTTTGCCACAAAATACTTTTAACTGCCGCTATAAAATAGGGGGTAACAAAAGAATTTCTATATTATATGATAATTATCCTGAGGATATAATAAACACATCAGACATAAAAGACTTTTCCTCTCCTTTAATACAATAAATGAAGGAAATTTGAGGAAATTCTAAGAAACACAATCTTTGTAAGAAAGTTATTTTATGAATTCCAGAGGCTTAGTAATTCATGATACTAATCAAAGAGGAAAGGTGAACCAAGATGAAAACTTCTTAATCAAAATCAAAACACCTACAAAGGCAATTAGACGAAAAGTGATATCTTCATTGTGATTTATAAATAATACTGAAACACAAAATAAACAGGAATATAATTGCTGCTTGAGCAATTAAACAACATAAAATTAAGTTTGTCACTTTAAGTCAACACGCATTCACATTGATGGAAATTAGTGAGTCAAATTTTCATGAACAGTATACTGTCATTCAAAATTCTGTGTAAAAATTAAAGGAAGGAATTAGCCAGAAAATAATAAATGTCTCTCATTATTAATTCTTTTGTTTTTGTATTTTCTGATCGCAAGATCAGTAAATACAAAGCTAACCTCCACGGTCTAACACAAAATTTCCTTACAGACCTAACAACGCAAAGTAGTTCTCACTCAAAACTGCTTAAAAACCAGCAATTTAAAAGGAAGAATAATTTTTAATGTAGGCATTTAACGAATTACAAAGCATTAAAAGTTAAGATTAGTCAATAGAAATATGAGGTTATAATCACAAATTTCGCGGATGAATATCTTTTTTACCCAATGAAAAATGTTCGGCTATTTCCATAAAGCTTAATCAATGAAAATGCTATTTTTAGCTATGTCGATTACCGAATACTCCAGAGCGTAGTACACAAATAAATCTGACTGTCGAGTAGTGGAATATATACATGTCGGACTGTATTTTCATCAGTGTTAAACAACAGGTTTATCGTGAACAAAATACCTCGAAATTAATAAGGATTACAAACACGAAATGGAAATTCTCAATTTAGAATTACAATGTATTTGTTTTTATTCAAGCTTATAGGTATTACTTCACCGTGGTGCAGAGGTAGCGCGCTCATTTAGGGTGTGAGAGGCCTTAGGTTCAAATCCTAGTCTAGGCAACTTTTTTTTAAGTGTCTTTTTTAAGGAAGTAGCCACGATATGCAAGGATAATGTGTGGCTGTCATCAGGGTCTTTCAAATAGTTTGAAAGACCCTGCTGTCATAAAAAATGAAAAATGATTTTTTGATGCAACTCTAGTCATGCAAAATTCCATATGTATCAATCTCAAACTGTTATAGAAAAAAATCTAAACGCAGTCGCTGCGTAAGATGAATTATAGTATATAAAATAAATTTATACAGGAAAATACATACATATATAGTCAGTATGATTTAGATTGCAAAGATCAGAAAATACCACAGAGCTTGCAGCCCTTTGATTTATATAACAGTTTGATGTAGAAAAGCAGAGCCAAACATGACAACCAGGTCTGGAAATTAAATCTGTTCTTGGGAGTGTTTTACTCACCCTTATTTTGTTTAGTTTTTTTTCTGATGATCATTTTAAACAGACACAGACCTCAGGTTGTCATGTTTGGCTCTGCTTTACAATTTGTAATTCTCTGAGCTTTGGTTATAATTAATACCAATATGTTATTTTGATGCCTCCTTCCCCCCCCCCCCCAAAAAAAAAACTAGAAATGTGTCCATAGGACACGGATGCCCCCACACGCCACTGTTCTGTCAATCTTATGACTCTAGGTCAAATATTTTTTGGACTACATGTGCCACAAGTTGAAAACTAAAAATCAACAAAGGGCCATTATTCTGTTAAATTTGGTCACAGCAAAAATTCCTTCCTTTACTACCATCTACACATTAAGGTTGTTCATCCCTGGAAGTTTAAGCAAAATCTGCCATCCGGTTTAAGAGGAGTTGTGTTCACAAAATTTCTACAGAGTATATAGTGAAAAAATCAACAAAGGGCCATAATTCTGTTAAATTTGGTTGCAGCAAAAATTCCTTCCTTTACTACCATCTACACATTAAGGTTGTTCATCCCTGGAAGTTTAAGCAAAATCTGCCATCCGGTTTAAGAGTAGTTGCGTTCACAAAATTTCTACACAGTATATAGTGAAAAAATCAACAAAGGGCCATAATTCTGTTAAATTTGGTCGCAGCAAAAATTCCTCCCTTAACTACCATCTACACATTAAGGTTGTTCATCCCTGGAAGTTTAAGCAAAATCTGCCATCCGATTTAAGAGGAGTTGCGTTCACAAAATTTCTACATAGTATATAGTGAAAAAATCAACAAAGGGCCATAATTCTGTTAAATTTGGTCGCAGCAAAAATTCCTTCCTTTACTACCATCTACACATTAAGGTTGTTCATCCCTGGAAGTTTAAGCAAAATCTGCCATCCGGTTTAAGAGGAGTTGCGTTCACAAGATTTTGGGACGTACGGACAGACGTACGGACGGACACTCGGACGGACAAGTGCAACGCTATATGCTCCCACTCTGTGGGGGCATAAAAACAACAACACTTGTGATAATGGCTTCCAATTAATTCCCAAGCATCAAAAGTTCAAATAGTTATAATTATTCAATATCCGATGATATCAAATATCTGATCAACAACAAAAAAATTTTAATTCTATCAACTTAAATACAAAACCATTTTTAGGATAGATTGATCAACATGAAATTTGATTAACAAATAAACCACTAGAAATTACAATTTTCCTAAGCAAAATATACAAAATGTCTCATATTATATATATACAACAGCATAAATTACTATTCACATGGATTCTTTATATTAGCTAACACAAAAAAAAAACATAATAAATCTTAAATTCAGCTGAATTTTTACCTTACCATTAAATAATATGCA